GGGTGACAGAGTGAGACTCCAACTCAAAAAAAAAAAAAAAAAAAAAAAAGAATTTTAGTTGTATTTGTTAATGGAAAAGAATTAATGTGTGTATGAAAAAATAAACTAGAGCTTTGTCTAAAGGAATAGTGAAATGCTGCATTCTTCCCTCCAGCTAGAACTCCTGAATGCTATGCTCTTCTGGGTATAAAAGAATCAAAAGTATCTCTTGGCTCCTTCTACTGTTTCCTGATGTGCTGCTCCCAATAATGCCCTTCCTGCCATTTTCACCTGGGGAGACGCTATGGAAAAGACCAGATGCTGATATTTAGATTTTTACAGCAATGACTCCCATATCCAATTCTGGCTCCTTTTCCCTATTTTCTATACACTCAGGGAGTAGATGGCAAGTATATATGCCCTTCTCCAGTCTTCCATTAGACACCACCCTTGGCTCATGCCCTGTTTTGGTGCCATCTGCTTGGGGACATAGAGGATAACAATAAGATCTCCTACTTACTGAGTGCCTGCTGTGAGCTAAGTATTTACATATCTAATTTCAAATTCTCATGCTATCCTGCTAGGACAGTATTAGAACCATTTTCATAGATCTGGAAAGTAGAGTTCAGAAAAGTTAAGAAACCTCTCCAAGGTTATCTGATGCAGGATTTATTATATTTGGGCCTTTCCCTTCTTTGTCATCAGTGGAAGACACTTCTCTTTCCTTGGAGAAATATGTTCGTATCTTCTTTGATTGACTTTACTTTCCATAACAGCCCTCCCTGGAGAGCTGCTCTCCTACTCTCATCCAGGCTGGTGTCCTGAATTTCCCACAGTGATTTGGCCCTTACATTGAATTTTCTGGCTTCTTGTCTGTTATACTCAACTGATATCTTAAAATATCTGATTAGTTCTTAATAGTGTTGGCAGGTTAGAATCATATTTTAAAAAGGAAAGTATATGTAAACACAACTTTCTGAATTCACTCATTGAGGGAACATATTTTTCCCATGTTATACAGACAAACTGGACAATGAAATGACCACCTGTTAGCTGCTAATGATGTTCGCATGCCTTTTAAAAAAGTAATTTTGGCTTTATCTCTATACAATCTTGGCGGCAAAACTCGTGGGAACATCAAGGGCACAGGAAGCCAAAGGCAGCAAACTGAAATAAAGTTTGTGCTTAGACTACTAATAAGGAAGAGAATACTGTGAATCTCTGATTCTACATAATTATTTAATCTCCAGAGGGTGACATAAAACTGAATGCATGTTTTAAGAAACCTAAGTTTGGGTGTTCAAATCTAGGACTGATATCAGAAGAGTTTCACACAGGCTATTTCTTACTTGAAACAAATATTTTAAAAAGCATCAAATATAAATCATGTCAATCACTATTTCCAGTGCATGGTTTGATTTGATATTGTGTGGGTGGGTCAATCATTATGCCTTCCAAGTGAAAATGAACACATATATACTGAATGAACTTAATTCAAAGTAATAGATTGATAGTAACTGTGTATTACCTTGCAAAAAATATGCCAGCCCTAAAAAAATTTACATTTTCACCAATATATAGGAAAGAAGCACTTTCTAAAATTAGAACTGGTATTAAAGATTAAATGACCTTTATTTTAACAGGGAAATCAAACTCCAAAGAAAACATTGGATTTTGACTGTTTTTTGCCAATAAGTTTTTGGGTCCTGATTTAAGTTTACTAATTTCTATTGAATCTTATTTTTAATGTAATATTTCTATCTAAATTCAAGGTTGATATAAACTAGGTTTGTCTTTTACTTGTTAACTTTACAATAATGTAATGGTTAAAAACATGTATTCTAAAATAAGATTGCTTGAGTCTGAAACATGTCTGCATAAGTTACCTTAATTCTCCATGCTTCAGTTATCTCATCTATAAAACAGAGTCAATCATGGTACTTACCTCATGGGCTGGTGGGAGGAGAAGCTCTTAGAACAATGCCTGGTATATAGTAAGTGTTTAATAAGTTCTAGTTATGATTTTTTAAAAATTCAAAGTAAAATGTGACATGAAGCTAATGTACAATTAAATACATTTTTGAAATAAATATAATAAATCATGTGTCCCTTCCTTTGTCTTTAAGCAGGATTGAATTTAAACTCACAGTAGACAAATAATTGTCTTTCCCAATTAAAAATAAATCTAAAAAGAAGTAGCAGGTATTCCATCTGTAAGAAATTTTTCAGCAGCATCTTAAAACTTTTAAAATGATCGGGTGCGGTGACTCAAACCTGTAATCCCAGCACCTTGGGAGGCAAGGCCGAGGTAGAAGATTGCCTGAGCCCACGGGTTAGAGAACAACCTGGGCAACTTGGTAAAACCCAAGTTTAATTTAATTTTCAAAAAATTAGCTGGGCATGGTAGCATGAGCCTGTAGTTCTGGCTACTTGGAAGGCTGAGACGGAAGGATGGCCTGAGCCCAGTGGGTCGATGCTGGGGTGGCTGTGAGCGCTCCAACCTGGGTGACGGAGTGAGACTCTGACTCAAAAACAAACAAACACAAAAAACTTTTCTTTTTTTTTTGAGTTGGAGTCTCACTCTGTCTCCCAGACTGGAGTGCAGTGCCACCTCAGCCTTGACCTGCGGGGCTCCGGCAATCCTTCCGTCTCAACCTTCTGAGTAGCTGGAATTACAGGCGCGCGC